TGTCCATACCGTTGGTGAGAGAGAGGTAATAGGACATAATGTCCATGCCGTTGGTGAGAGAGAGGATATAGGACATAATGTCCATGCCTTTGGTGAGAGAGAAGATATAGGACATAATGTCCATACCGTTGGTGAGAGAGAGGATATAGGACATAATGTCCATGCCGTTGGTGAGAGAGAGGATATAGGACATAATGTCCATGCCGTTGGTGAGAGAGAGGATATAGGACATAATGTCCATACCGTTGGTGAGAGGATATAGGACATACTGTCCATGCCGTTGGTGAGAGAGAGGATATAGGACATAATGTCCATGCTGTTGGTGAGAGAGAGGATATAGGACATAATGTCCATACCGTTGATGAGAGAGAAAATATAGGACATAATGTCCATGCCGTTGGTGAGAGAGACAGAAGATATAGGACGTAATGTCCATACCGTTGGTGAGAGAGAGGATATAGGACACAATGTCCACACCGTTGGTGAGAGAGAGAAGATATAGGACGTAATGTCCATACCGTTGGTGAGAGAGAGGATATAGGACATAATGTCCATGCCGTTGGTGAGAGAGAGGATATAGGACATAATGTTAATGCCGTTGGTGAGAGAGAAGATATAGGACATAATGTCCATACCGTTGGTGAAAGAGAGGATATAGGACATAATGTCAATGCCGTTGGAGAGAGGATATAGGACATAATGTCCATGCCGTTGGTGAGAGAGAGGATATAGGACATAATGTCCATGCCGTTGGAGAGAGGATATAGGACATAATGTCCATACCGTTGGTGAGAGAGAGGATTTAGGACATAATGTCCATGCCGTTGGAGAGAGGATATAGGACATAATGTCCATACCGTTGGTGAGAGAGAGGATATAGGACATAATGTCCATACCGTTGGAGAGAGGATATAGGACATAATGTCCATGCCGTTGGTGAGAGAGAGGATATAGGACATAATGTCCATGCCGTTGGTGAGAGAGAGAAGATATAGGACATAATGTCCATGCCGTTGGTGAGAGAGAGGATATAGGACATACTGTCCATGCCGTTGGTGAGAGGATATAGGACATAATGTCCATGCCGTTGGTGAGAGAGAGGATATAGGACATAATGTCCATGCCGTTGGTGAGAGAGGGGATATAGGACATAATGTCCATGCTGTTAGTGAGATAGAAGATATAGGTCATAATGTCCATGCCGTTGGTGAGAGAGAGGATATAGGACATAATGTCCATGCCGTTGCTGAAAGAGAGGATATAGGACATAATGTCCAATCCGTTGGTGAGAGGATATAGGACATAATATCCATGCCGTTGGTGAGAGAGAGAGAATATAGGACATAATGTCCATGCCGTTGGTGAGAGAGAAGATATAGGACATAATGTCCATGCTGTTGGTGAGAGGATATAGGACATAATGTCCATGTCATTGGTGAGAGAGAGGATATAGGACATAATGTCCAAGCTGTTGGTGAGAGGATATAGGACATAATGTCCATACCGTTGGTGAGAGAGAGAGAAGATATAGGACATAATGTCAATACCGTTGGTGAGAGAGAAGATATAGGACATAATGTCCATGCCGTTAGTGAGAGAGAGGATATAGGACATAATGTCCATACCGTTGGTGACAGAGAGAAGATATAGGACATAATGTCCATACCGTTGGTGAGAGAGAAGATATAGGACATAATGTCCATGCCGTTGGTGAGAGAGAGGATATAGGACATAATGTCCATGCCGTTGGTGAGAGAGAGGATATAGGACATAATGTCCATGCCGTTGGTGAGAGAGAAGATATAGGACATAATGTCCATACCGTTGGTGAGAGAGAGGATATAGGACATAATGTCCATGCCGTTGGTGAGAGAGAGGATATAGGACATAATGTCCATGCCGTTGGTGAGAGAGAGGATATAGGACATAATGTCCATGCCGTTGGTGAGAGAGAGGATATAGGACATAATGTCCATGCCGTTGGTGAGAGAGAAGATATAGGACATAATGTCCATACCGTTGGTGAGAGAGAGGATATAGGACATAATGTCCATACCGTTGGTGAGAGAGAGAAGATATAGGACATAATGTCCATGCCGTTGGTGAGAGAGAGGATATAGGACATAATGTCCATGCCGTTGGTGAGAGAGAGGATATAGGACATAATGTCCATGTCGTTGGTGAGAGAGAGGATATAGGACATAATGTCCATGCCGTTGGTGAGAGAGAGGATATAGGACATAATGTCCATGCCGTTGGTGAGAGAGAGGATATAGGACATAATGTCCATGCTGTTGGTGAGAGAGAGGATATAGGACATAATGTCCATACCGTTGATGAGAGAGAAAGTATAGGACATAATGTCCCTGCCTTTGGTGAGAGAGAGAAGATATAGGACGTAATGTCCATACCGTTGGTGAGAGAGAGGATATAGGACATAATGTCCACATCGTTGGTGAGAGAGAGAAGATATAGGACGTAATGTCCATACCGTTGGTGAGAGAGAGGATATAGGACATAATGTCCATGCCGTTGGAGAGAGGATATAGGACATAATGTCCATACCGTTGGTGAGAGAGAGGATATAGGACATAATGTCCATGCCGTTTGAGAGAGAGGATATAGGACATAATGTCCATGCCGTTGGTGAGAGAGGATATAGGACATAATGTCCATGCCGTTATTGAGAGGATATAGGACAGAGAGGATATAGGACATAATGTCCATGCCGTTGGTGAGAGGATATAGGACATAATGTCCATGCTGTTGGTGAGAGATGAGGATATAGGACATAATGTCCATGCCGTTGGTGAGAGAGAGGATATAGGACATAATGTCCATGCCGTTGGTGAGAGAGAGGATATAGGACATAATGTCCATGCTGTTGGTGAGAGAGAGGATATAGGACATAATGTCCATGCCGTTGGTGAGAGGATATAGGACATAATGTCCATGCTGTTGGTGAGAGTGAGGATATAGAGAATGATATTGGTGACAGAGAGGATATGTGTCCATGCCGTTGGTGAGAGGATATAGGACATAATGTCCATGCTGTTGGTGAGAGAGAAGATATAGGACATAATGTCCATACCGCTGGTGAGAGAGAGGATATAGGACATAATGTCCATGTTGTTGGTGAGAGAGAGGATATAGGACATAATGTCCATACCGTTGATATTCATGCCTATCCACACCATGATGTCTTGTGACCTTTCAGTCAACTCTGACACAGACGATCTTCCATGCCATGATGTCTTGTGACCTTTCAGTCAACTCTGACACAGACGATCTTCCATGCCATGATGTCTTGTGACCTTTCAGTCAACTCTGACACAGACGATCTTCCATGCCATGATGTCTTGTGACCTTTCAGTCAACTCTGACACAGACTATCTTCCATGCCATGATGTCTTGTGACCTTACAGTCAACTCTGACACAGACGATCTTCCATGCCATGATGTCTTGTGACCTTTCAGTCAACTCTGACACAGACGATCTTCCATGCCATGATGCCTTGTGACCTTTCAGTCAACTCTGACACAGACGATCTTCCATGCCATGATGTCTTGTGACCTTTCAGTCAACTCTGACACAGACGATCTTCCATGCCATGATGCAGAACTGTCTAGAATCAATTCTTTCCGTCTTCCTCTGCCTGTCCTTCCCTCCAACTTCCCTACTTCCGCGATATACTCCAGTTTTTTCCCCTTCTCATCACATGACCAACGAATGTAGATTGACTCTTTCTTATATGGACAATCAGTTCTGTTCGTGAATTTGTTTCCAAACAACTTCAAAACTCTTTTTGTCCTCGCGGCTATTCTCATCATTCTTCTGTAATGTTTTGAAAAATACCAACTTTATTGTCAATCCTTTTGATTGCTTCTTGTTGCCAGTGCATGTTTTTTATTATTCATATCTTTACCATCCTTTAAAGTTTCTAAAAATCCAATATTAAAACGATTACATCACTGAAGTTTGTCTCACCGGTGACTAAATACATGACTCGATTATATCAGCAAAGTTTATCTCTGCAGTGAGTAAATACAGGACTCGATTATATCAGCAAAGTTTACCTTTGCAGTGAGTAGATACAGGACTCGATTATATCAGCAAAATTTACCTCTGCAGTGAGTAGATACAGAACTCGATTATATCAGCAAAGTTCACCTCAGCAGTGAGTAGATACATGACTCGATTATATCAGCAAAGTTTGCCTCAGCAGTGAGTAGATACAGGACTCGATTATATCAGCAAAGTTTACCTCAGCAGTAAGTAGATACAGGACTCGATTATATCAGCAAAGTTTACCTTAGCAGTAAGTAGATACAGGACTTGATTATATCAGCAAAGTTTACCTCAGCAGTGAGTAGATACCGGACTCGATTATATCAGCAAAGTTTATCTCTGCAGTGAGTAGATACAGGACCCAAATATATCAACAAAGTTTACCTCTGCAGTAAGTAGATACAGGACTTGATTATATCAGCAAAGTTTACCTCAGCAGTGAGTAGATACAGGACTCGATTATATCAGCAAAGTTTACCTCTGCAGTGAGTAGATACAGGACTCAATTATATCAGCAAAGTTTACCTCTGCAGTGAGTAGATACAGGACTCGATTATATCAGCAAAGTTTACCTTAGCAGTAGATACAGGACTCGATTATATCAGCAGATTTTACCTCAGCAGTTAGTAGATACAGGACTCGATTATATCAGCAAAGTTTACCTCTGCAGTGAGTAGATACAGGACCCAATTATATCAACAAAGTTTACCTCAGCAGTTAGTAGATACAGGACTCGATTATATCAGCAAAGTTTACCTCAGCAGTAAGTAGATACAGGACTCGATTATATCAGAAAAGTTTACCTCAGCAGTAAGTAGATACAGGACTCGATTATATCAGAAAAGTTTACCTCAGCAGTGAGTAGATACAGGACTCGATTACATATGCAACTTTGAACCTGGGCTGTTTTAGATAAATATTACAATGTTACCTCAAGGGGGAGTAGATACTGTTTTCGCACCCATTGACGGCGATGTTCTGGTAGAGACTCTGTGAGAAGCTGTTGCAGACTTGGGCAACTTTCTTGTCCCAGTTGGCGGAACCGTCTGTCGCCACCAGCAGACACAGGATGCAGAGGGGTGCTTTCATCGTGTGCTTGTATAACTCTGGGTTGCTGTATTTGTTGGCAATCAAAACAAACATGTTTGACCGTGTGAGAAGACCAAACGAGCCGGTTGTGTTAGCAGTCCAAACAATCATGGTTAGTTGTGTTAGCAGTCCAAACAGACATGTTTAGTTGTGTTAGAAGTCCTAACAAACATGTTTTTTTGTGTGTTAGAAGTCCAAATAAGCATGTTTAGTTGTGTTACCAGTCCAAGCAAACATGTTTAGTTGTGTTAGCAGTCCGAACAAGCATGTTTAGCTGTGTTAGCAGTCAAAACAAGCATGTTTAATTGTATTACAGGCTTTTGTTTATCATCGCTGTGCTTTTTACTGGATTATTTGGTATAATTCGTGTTGATGTGCAGCTGACATAAATCCCTACATTCTGGGGACCAGCGAATGACTGCCTGGTAGACACGTCTCTGAGGACAAGCGAATGACCACCTGATAGACACGTCTCTGGGGACAAGCGAATGACTGCCTGATAGACACGTCTCTGGGGACCAGCGAATGACTGCCTGATAGACACGTCTCTGGGGACCAGCGAATGACCACCTGATAGACACGTCTCTGGGGACCAGCGAATGACTGCCTGAGAGACACGACTGTGGGGACCAGCGAATGACTGCCTGATAGACACATCTCTGGGGACCAGCGAATGACCACCTGATAGACACGTCTGTGGGGACCAGCGAATGACTGCCTGATAGACACGTCTCTGGGGACCAGCGAATGACCACCTGATAGACACGTCTCTGGGGACAAGCGAATGACTGCCTGATAGACGCGTCTCTGGGGACCAGCGAATGACTGCCTGATAGACGCGTCTCTGGGGACAAGCGAATGACTGCCTGATAGACACGTCTCTGGGGACCAGCGAATGACTGCCTGATAGACACGTCTCTGGGTACCAGCGAATGACCACCTGATAGACACGTCTCTGGGTACCAGCGAATGACCACCTGATAGACACGTCTCTGGGGACCAGCGAATGACTGCCTGGTAGACACGTCTCTGGGGACCAGCGAATGACTGCCTGATAGATACGTCTCTGGGGACAAGCGAATGACTGCCTGATAGACACGTCTCTGGGTACCAGCGAATGACCACCTGATAGACACGTCTCTGGGGACAAACGAATGACTGCCTGATAGACACGACTGTGGGGACCAGCGAATGACCACCTGATAGACACGTCTCTGGGGACAAGCGAATGACTGCCTGATAGACACGTCTCTGGGGACAAACGAATGACTGCCTGATAGACACGTCTCTGGGGACAAATGAATGACTGCCTGATAGACACGTCTCTGGGGACAAACAAATGACTGCCTGATAGACACGTCTCTGGGGACCAGCGAATGACTGCCTGGTAGACACGTCCGTGGGGACCAGCGAATGACTGCCTGATAGACACGTCTCTGGGGACAAGCGAATGACTGCCTGATAGACACGTCTGTGGGGACAAGCGAATGACTGCCTGATAGACACATCTCTGGGGACAAACGAATGACTGCCTGATAGACACGTCTCTGGGATGACACTAGCAAACTGTAATGACCCTGCTTTGCATGGTCCTCACGATTACATAGTGGCAAGCAGAAAGTCCGTGCAACAAGGGACAGCACGAGATACTTGTGCCTAGTCGAGGAAGCGAGGGAAAGCCCGAGCTAGACTCGTGGTCAGTCGATCATGAGAAGTCAGAGTAGACGGTTATAGAAACAGAGATGCAGTTTCAATGTCGTGCGGATGACGAGTAATTAAGTATGTCGTGAGCGAGAGAAGTATATATAATTGTGGGAACTTGTGGAACATATGTGAATGAATAAACTCACAGGATGTACAAGGAAGCTGAGCGGCGTTTGTGTTTTCAACTCTAGACGTTAAAGCAGTGCAAGTTTGTCGCAGTAAACATCCAGAGAGTGAGCCGTGGCGAAAGCCAATAGGTAGTAAGCCAAAGCGCAGTCCAAGTCAAGCCAAGGTTTATTACACAAACCTTGTGTGCTTACAAATATGTTATAAATTATCATTTATAAGTTATCTGTTGGATTATCTTCAAGCCCTCCGGGCACGCCTACCGGTGCTCAGATACCCCTCCAGCAATACACCGGCGTCCCGCGGTTAGTTGTGCCAGGCCTATGCTGGTTAACAAGACTTCGTGCACGTCCAGTTTGCCTCTCATGCTTGGGGTGACGATATCTTCACTTCTAGTTCTGGCATTCTCAGTGATAACAGGCTGCTTTTGAAGTCCAGCGGTCGTCTTATCTCTCCAAGAAAATTAACAGTGTCGGAGTTATCCATAGTCCTGCAATCTGCGACAAAGGCAGAACTTGCCTATCTAACAGGTCTTTCATTGCCGATTACACTACACAACAATATCACGCAGTGGAGTTCCACAGTGACTCATTCCGCTGTTTTCATAGAGCCTGCCATGACCTGCCGGGTCATGCTCGCAGAATCACTCAGCACGCACACAAGAAGGAACAGTCCTGCGACTCCAGCCACATGAAAGTTTGTGTCAGCGCCATCAGTGTCATCGTCATGCTGCTGGTAGTCGCAGACAAGGCACCGATGGTTTGTTGAACTGTTTTGTCCGCAGGGCGAGCTATGAATGCCCATTACACTCATGTGTTTACTGTTACTACTATATGTGTATACTGTCATTACTAGGTGTATTTGCTGTCATAACTGCATGTGTCTTGTGTCAATACTTCATGTGTATACTGTCATTACTTCATGGGCATACTGTCATTACTACATATATATATGTATATATATATATATATATATATATATATATATATATATATATATATATATATATATATATATATATATATATATATATATATATATATATATATATATATTTACTGTCATTACTACATGTGTATACTGTCATTACTACATGTGTATACTGTCATTACTACATGTGTATACTGCCATTACTACATGATTTACTGTAATTTCTACATGTATATACATTCATTACTACATGTGTTTACTGTCTTTACTACACGTGTTTAATGTCATTACTACATGTGTTTACTGTCATTACAACATGTGTTTACTGTCATTACAACATGAGCTTACTGTAATTACTATATGTTTTTACTGTCATTACTCATGTGTTTACTGTAATTTTTACATGTATATACTGTAGTTTCTACATTTGTTTACTGTAATTACTACACGTGGTTACTGTCATTACTACATGTGTTTACTGTCATTACTAAATGTGTTTACTGTCATTACTACATGTGCTTACTGTAATTTCTACATGTATAAACTGTCATTACTACATGTGTTTACTGTCATTACCACACTGTTTTACTGTAATTGCTACATGTATATACTGTCATTACTAAAGTGTTTACTGTCATTATCACATGTGTTTACTGTCATTACTACACGTGTTTACTGTCATTACTACATGTGTTTACTGTAATTTCTACATGCACATACTGTTATTACTAAATGTGTTTAATGTAATTTCTACATGCATATACTGTCATTACTATATGTGTTTACTGTCACTACTACACGTGGTAACTGTCATTACTACATATGTTTACTGTCATTACTACATGTGTTCACTGTAATTTCTACATGTATATACAGTTATTACTACATGTCTTTACTGTCATTACTACATGTGTTTGCTGTAATTTCTACATGTATATACTGTCATTACTACATGTGTTTGCTGTCATTACTGCATGTGTTTAATCTAATTTCTACATGTATATACTGTCAATACCACATGTGTTTACTGTAATTACTACATGTGTTTAATGTCACTACTATATGTGTTAACTGTCATTACTATATATGTTTACTGTCATCACTACATGTGTTTACTGTCATTACTATATGTGTTTACTGTCATTACTACATGTTTTTACTGTCATTTCTACATGTGTTTACTGTAATTTCTACACGTGCATACTGTGATTACTACACGTGTTTACTGTCATTACTACATGTGTTTATTGTATTTTCTACATGTATATACTGTCATTACTACATGTGTTTACTGTCATTACTAGATGTCTTCACTGTCATTACTACATGTGTTTACTGTCATTACTACATGTGTATACTGTCATTACTACATGTGTATACTGTCATTACTACATGTGTTTACTGTCACTACTACACGTGGTAACTGTCATTACTACATATGTTACTGTCATTACTACATGTGTTCACTGTAATTTCTACATGTATATACAGTTATTACTACATGTCTTTACTGTCATTACTACATGTGTTTGCTGTAATTTCTACATGTATATACTGTCATTACTACATGTGTTTGCTGTCATTACTGCATGTGTTTAATCTAATTTCTACATGTATATACTGTCAATACCACATGTGTTTACTGTAATTACTACATGTGTTTAATGTCACTACTATATGTGTTAACTGTCATTACTATATATGTTTACTGTCATCACTACATGTGTTTACTGTCATTACTATATGTGTTTACTGTCATTACTACATGTTTTTACTGTCATTTCTACATGTGTTTACTGTAATTTCTACACGTGTATACTGTGATTACTACACGTGTTTACTGTCATTACTACATGTGTTTACTGTATTTTCTACATGTATATACTGTCATTACTACATGTGTTTACTGTCATTACTACATGTCTTCACTGTCATTACTACATGTGTTTACTGTCATTACTACATGTGTTTACTGTTATTTCTACGTGTGTTAACTGTCAATACTACACTGTATACTGTCATTACTACATGTGTTTACTGTCATTACTACATGTGCTTACTGTCATTACAACATGAGCTTACTCTAATTACTATATGTTTTTACTGTCATTACTCATGTGTTTACTGTAATTTCTACATGTATATACTGTAATTTCTACATGTGTTTTCTGTAATTACTACACGTGGTTACTGGCATTACTACATGTGTTTACTGTCATTACTAAATGTGTTTACTGTCA